AAGAGGATAAGTCAGCTTAAGTTTGATTAAGGGAAGTTAAAGACTCCATAACGTAAAGAAGGCCTGCCACGTGACTTGGGTCCGGAACAATAACCAAAGTCTTATACCTCCACTCGACAAATCCAAACGCCTCTCTCGATAGGTTGTTGAGTTACGTGATACGAGAATCACACTATTCGAGCGACTGACTCGCCGTATTCCGAGTGTAACGTTACACGATTAGGAAAAGTCAACAAAAATGTTCGTTTTGAAAAAATCGCTTTTTTTCAAAAATCGACATAAGAAACCATCCTTTGTGCTCTAACAAAAAGTTTTCCTTACACAATTTCACTATAAACCTGCTAAAATCTAACCCTAACCCTAACACGAACCTAAACGAACTTCAAAAAATTTTATTGATGTCACATGATCAGGACATTTTTAAAATTTTCTTCGCCATGGCTAGGGTACTGAAATGATATAGCAGTAGATTTTATGATTAGTATATAATACAGGTCATATTTCATTTAACTAACCTTCATGAATTTCAATATTATATTAACTGATTCTCCAACTTAATTATTTAATAAAATTTACTTCTCAAATTTACAGATAATGCTCCATAAAACATAGCTACTGCTAAGTAAATTCGATATAAAAAAAGATTAGGTGTTAATTAAATTTCCAACTAGTAAAAGCAATGAAAATAAATCGAATGTATTTCATAAATTTAAATTATTAAATATATTTTTACCAAATGAATGCTGCAAAGCAAAACCTGCAATATAACGGACTTACTAATATTATATAATAATGTTATAATATGAATAAGTCCACTACATTGATAAATATTTACTTACTAGTTTTTGCTTTGCAGCACTTAAATATAATTCATTATTAAAAAAATATTACAAAGCAATGTAAATTAATAATGAGCGAAGAATCGAAAAGCCAACTTTTATATTGCAAGTTACGTAATAAACAATACTCTGACCAATCAAATAAATCAATTGAATTTACCCCTATGTTGATTCTGAGATTTTATTAGGCAAAGGATTTATACAAGCTACTACCATTTATAGCTTCGGTATTATTATAGCTGAAATGTCACTAAAAAAAGGTCTTTCGATTGGCAGAAATTTGGTGTTAAACTTGGAACAGATTTTGCAAAGAAAGACCAGACTTTACTCCTGAATTTCTATGTTAAATTAGCTAAGCAATCATGTATTCTGATCCAAAAGAACGGCCTGATGCTCATGATGCTCAAAAAAAATTGATAATAGACTTAAAGAGATAGCAAGTTCAAATTATGAAAATAAAATTATTCAAATTAAAAAGCAATTCTTAAATGCTGATAAAATTCCCAAAACATTGTTAAAATCTTAGCATCCAGCACAATTATTGGCTCAAAACTAATTTCAAATGCGATTAAAAATATTTTATTAAAAAAAATTATATACCGTATTAAATATTAAATTATGTTTAAAAAATAATGAAAATTTTTATTTAGATTTTTTTGTATCAAACTAATTCTGCTCAAATTAAACTTATACTGCATTACTAAATAAAAATTTTAAAGTTTTGATGAATATTTTAACTTTAAATTTGTTGTCTAACCTGTGAACATGATTCTGACAGAGTGGTTAGTGACACAATTTTAATAATGTGAAATAGCGATAGTTATACAATTAAATAGCTTAATTTGGTATTACATTATTATGAAAGTTAAAAATGTAGCATTGAATAGAGGTGTTAAAAGCTCAAGTCTGCTTGAAGTAGCTTGTAAGTCAACTCAAAGTCGAAGAGCTAAGATAATAAATATATATTTAAACAGTTTATCATTAAGTATATTGGCGTTTACTGTTAATGCACATAAAGTCTCTTATTTCAATTATTATGCGATTATTGGAGTCGAAGTCGACTTAAAAAAAGCTCAACTTGAAATTGACTCGAAATCGATTAATCAGAGTATTTTAACACCCTAGCATTGGAACTCCACGTTATAATCTATACGTTGAAATTTCTATGATTATACGACCACGACCATCACATTAAGAAATATTTGTTCTCATGTGAGGCACGAGTTATTGGTTAGTAAATGCATTAATATGTGTTATAAGTTATATGAGAAAGATGGATCAAACGCGCGTTATTAGGAAATGAAATAAGTGAAGTATTTGTTTCAAAATAATCGATCTATAAATTCTATTTTATATTAAGTGTATTCAACGACACTTTTACAATGTGTTATTTTTTGTTTTACATTCTTCATAATTAAAATACAACTATTTCATTTTCCGATTTCAAAATTTTAAAATACAAATACGATTTTTTAAACCCCTACTTATTTGTGAAATAGTTTAATTTTGAAACCCCCCTATTGATATAGTTTATTTGTTCAGGGTTTGGCTCTAATGGATTAATACGCAATTTGGCACCTAAAATTTAAAGTTTGGAACTGAATACTTGAATTTGGAGACTAACTTTTGTTAACTTTATAAATGCGCCGGAATGCTTTATAAAATTGCTTTATAGTTTATTCTAACTAGTTTACATAATTTAACGTTCTAAATATTATGACATTTTAAAATGGTTTCAAATATTTAAAATATTTTTGATAATCTAAAATCTAAATTATTTTTGACAATCTCGTTATTCTCATCCTATAATATTTTCGATACTCTACAACCTAAATTATTTTCAAAATAATATATTATTTATAGTTTAGACTGCTAAAAATAATTTTCCCGAAGAGTATGTAGTAACAATAGGAAAAAGGTAAATATTCTGGTGTGAGATAATGTGGCGTATTGAAACTTTTTTAAAATATCTACGATAATCGGAATCGAACGATTTTTATGCGTACCATTCAATTCATCTTATCATGATGAATCGAATGACATACAAATCACTTTAATTAGAACTCTTTGACCACAAGATACGAGTACTTGGCATGCCCCTTAACAATCTGCTTAATTAAGTAATTTATTAGTTGTATACAAAGTTAATAAGTTCTATCTTGATGCATTCTTATATAAATTATCAAGTATCTAATTCATGCATTATAACGCACCACAATCCTCATTTTTTTTCATTAACGGATAGCGAATCATAAAATAAAGTTGGTTTTAATGAAATCTTGGCAATAATGCTTAAGTGCGCCAGAATACTCCACATTCCCTTATACTGTATATAGATTTTTTTTTTAAATCGTTCTATATTTAGATATGCGTGAAAGATTTAATCAATAAAATATTCGTTATTAGTTTCTTTACCGTTTTCGGAATAATTACTAAAATCACCTTATAAAAATGCACAACAACTTTCATTGATGTTTATTTTTTATACCGTGTAATCCAAAATTATTATTATAGTAACTCTGGAAATCATTGTTAAATTCTGTAATAATACTGTTAATAGTAATAAACAATCGTCATACGTATGCAAATACGTACCGATACTGCATGTAACGGTAACGGATAAATACATTTAAGGAAATATTCATTTGAGGTGCTACCAAAGCGAAACTTAATTTTGCTTCTCAAGTGTCTGGGCTTTTAAAAGCCACCTAAAAATAGTATAGTATGACAGTTATATCTAATGGCTAATAAACCTTATCTCGCTCGTATCATTTTTCATAGTCATTAGATGATGTAAAATAAAATACTATAGGTAGTGATGTACATCTTGGCATGTCCAAGTGTCCAAAGTGTCCAAGCTGTCCATAGGCTTAAATATTTTAGTAATAGAAATAAAAATTATATAATTATATTCTTTATTTAATTTAAACATTTTTGTTTAAAAGATTTGAATATGTTATCTCAATAAAATTTTGAATAAAATTACTTTATTTTTTTGTTCGAAATTCCAAAATGTCCAAAATTATGTCCAAAGGCTATCTATGCCATATATACCACATTTTTTTTAATACTTATCCGAATTCTTAATGAAGAATTTTTGAAGCGTCAAAAGGAATTTGTCAACATTTCTATTTATACATTCATTTAATGGTAAATTTATTCGGAATCTTTTTCTAATAAGTTATTTATAATTAAAAATTAAAATGAAAAAATTCATATCTGTCACTAATTCGACATTTCTCTATATAAGTAGTCCTTTTAAACTCTTTCAGTCTTTCAGTTCTTTAACGAAATTCATCTTATCAAGTTTATATATTGTCTATTATCGAACTTATCATTACTTTTTTTTTTAAAAAAAAATAATAATTATGAAATTCAATATCGTTATTATATGCTCGATTCTTTTTTTTGGTGCCTCTATATTGGCAATTCCAACTCCAAGAGGTATCTGTATTAAAATATTTGATTTATACTTTTTGAAGGTCGCATACATTCAAAATTACTTACTGTATATTATTACCCTACTACGACGATAAAGGTGTAAAAAACTTAGGTTGGTATATACGCATATATATATTTATAATTGATTGTTAATATTATATCTGAACTATTATTATTATCATTTATGTGATAGATCTGGTCTATAAACATAAGCGTAATCCTGGTGAAGATCATAAAGAATACGATGAAAAGAAATATGAAGACCATGATGATAAAGACGATGATGATGATAAAGATAAAGATGAGAAAGAAGATAAATCGGTAAATAAACACGAAGATCATGAAGACAAGGATCATAAATACCATTATCATGAAAACAAAGATCTCGATGATTGTGATGAAGACGAGAAAAAAGACAAACGAGGAGAAAAAGATGATAAAGACGATAAAGACAAAGATGATAAAGATGATAAAGACGATAAAGACAAAGATGACAAAGATGATAAAGACGATAAAGACGATAAAGACAAAGATGATAAAGATGATAAAGACGATAAAGACAAAGATGATAAAGATGATAAAGACGATAAAGACAAAGATGATAAAGACGATAAAGATGATAAAGACGATAAAGACAAAGATGATAAAGATGATAAGGACGACAAAGATGATAAAGACGATAAAGACAAAGATGATAAAGGCAAAGATTATAAAGATGATAAAGGCAAAGATTATAAAGATGATAAAGGCAAAGATGGTAAAAAAGACGAAGATGACAAGAAAAAAAGTTAAATATAATGTAAGAGTTACAAAGAAGAAAGAAAAATATAATAAGAGGCATTAAAATATTGCGAAGCTTTGGCCAAATAAGTTAAAAACATACCTCACTTGTAATTTGTATCAAACTTCTATTATTGTATTAATATTAGTCTATAATCGTATATTTGTTATAATTATTTAATAGCTCAATAAAAAATTAATGTTTTTCTTTTGAATTTCTTATTTTTTTTTCTCTTGAATTATTTATTTTTTACTATCAAATTGCTTGTGTAATAAATTATATTTTACCAAATTTAATTTATGTACATTCGCAACTATAAAATCAAAGCGTTTTAATTAATAACTTTCATGCATCGTCTTTGTTTTTATAGCTCGTGAAATCCTTTTTTTTATATGCTTAAAAACCGGGTTGGAAAATGACCAAATCCTTCGATTGCTTATGACTTGTAGACCATCTTTTGGTCTATAGGTCAGATTCAAATAAATTTTAGAAAAATATTATATCATTTATTTTTGTTAATGCTACCACTAAAATATTGTGAGCTCCGGAAATTAAGTCCGAACCAGGCCGGAACCCTAACGTGATCACAGATCACATGGGTAAATTGCAT